AAGCTACTGGAGGATGTGCTCCCACAAAATGTAGATGGAAACTAAGCAGAATACTGATGGGGAATCTGGGACAGAAGGAAGCAAGGGAATCACAGAAGGAAATTCCACTTGGCAGCTGCATTCCAGACCTGAGCAGGAAGGTGGAGGGCTTGATGGGCTGGAGGAGTGGAATAGGGAGAGGTGGGGCTGAGCGATTGTTATGTTTAGTACCATTTGATTTTTTAAAACTACGTGTATAGATTTCTTTTATTAAAAATTAAGAAATTAAAAACGATAAGAAACAAAAATCAAAACGAAGCTGGAAAGAGACCATTCTTTCGATTTCTGTCATGTTTGGGATTTGCTTCCATCCACAGCAACAGGACCTCAGTGTAAACTGACCACATTTGCTGACCCCTCCCCTGACATTCATCTGAGCCCTGGAGCAGCTCTCCGCTCAACTGTGTGCAGTGCCGGTGACATCACCTCAGGACCGAGGGCACCTGTTCAGAGGGAGGCGGCTAAAGTGACAAACAGGTGGAGGGAACGGTGTTAAGAGAAACATTTGTAAAAATTAACTTCCTCTGATTTGGAAGATGAAGAAGATTCAAGCCTAATAAATCATGAAGCTCATGGACAGCCGTGACATACGCACAGTCCCCAGACCCTGGACAGCAGGACGAGAGAGTGAGCCCTGAACGTGTTACACAAGAAGTTACACATGATGAAACTGTAAGTATGTGTCCACACACTTTAAAGACACAGCCATGCCTTGGACGTCCACATCAAAGAGAACCCCTGTGGTCTTGTGTGACGTGGCCACGTCTTTCTGTTAGAGACGATTTCTGTCATGGCCTGTCTTTCCATTACAATCAGGGGCTGGGCGCCCCCTCATTGAAGTAAGCTGTGTTTGCAAAGATAGTAACACTCTCTTCATTTCTCGAGCACTTCACTCTGCACCAAGAATTTTATAAACGTAATCTCTTTACCTTCCCATAAGAACACCTGAGACAAGTATCATCATTTCACAGATGAGGAAACTGGGCTACAGAAAGATTAGGAAGCTCATCCAAAGTTACAAAC